AATTAATGTCTCCAAAGCCAATTATCCAGGGACATTATTCATTTCCTACCTCCCCTCCCTTAACAATGTGATGTTTCCCTCTGCTGCCTCTGGAGATTGCTGCTGAGATGAGGCAGGGCTGATGAGCTGCTGGCAGCCAGAGCTAATTTCACGGTACCTGGCTGCTTGCTGAGCCCCTGCACAGTCTGCTGGGGTGCCTCAGGGTGGACACAAGGCCTTTGTCCTTGCAGGTCTGCTCTCGGGGAGAAGTCATCAAAGTGAAGGTGCTGGGCACGCTGGCTCTGATTGATGAGGGAGAGACAGACTGGAAGGTCATTGCCATCAACGTTGAAGACCCCGAAGCAGCCAGCTACAATGGTGAGTTCCAGGGGCAAGGAGCAAAGCAGTGCTTCCCTTGCTGCCCTGGAAGCCTGCAGGAGCAGCTGGGGACAGGGCTTGCTCCTTCTGTCAGTCACATGTGGTGCTGGAAGGACAATCCTGGAGCAAAACATTTCACTGCTGTTTGTCACACGTGGCCAGTCCTCTGCACAGCCTGGCATTGCAAACACAGTGCAAGGAGAGGGATTGTCCCCCCAGCCTCTAGTCTAAGCTTTGTCCACGCTCCTGGGGACACTTGGGATGCACACCCTGGGGATGAAACACTAACTTCCCCGAGGAGATACTCCCTGAGTCTTCAGGGAACCTGTCTGAAACGTTGCTAAGGCTGCTTGGGGAGGGGCTGAAGGAGGCACAGCCCAGACCAACTCAGCGGGGCCACGTAAATCCTGTAATTCACTGCATTCTGTTACTGTTTCTGGCTAACAAACCCCATTGTCCCCTGCCAGACATCGAGGATGTCAGAAGGATGAAGCCTGGATACTTAGAAGCTACTGTGGACTGGTTCAGAAGATACAAAGTACCTGATGGAAAGCCAGAAAACCAGTTTGCCTTTAATGGGGAGTTTAAAGGCAAGGTAGGATCACCTTCCTGTGCTCAGAGGCACCTGGTCCAGAACCTGAGCTCAGGCTGGGTGGGGACACGAGTGAGGTGCTGAGAGAATGGATTTTTGTGGGGGTGCTGAGAGTTGATTTCAGTTCATCCTGCTGTTTTTTTTCCAGCCTAATGAGTGCAGGAATACCAGGAAAAAAAAACCAAAAACGCCTGGGGTTATCACTGTGGTGTTGTTGAATGTTTTTTTTCATGTGGGATCACTTCAGGGCTGGGAGCCTTCGTGCCAGCACCAGGTGGAAAACACCAGGTTTATTTGCTGCAGCTCTGGAGCAAAGGCAGCTTGACATCACCCTTTGCCTCCCTTACCCCTTGGCTTTGTTCCACTGCACCCTGGTGCAAGTTAAACTTAACTCAGGAGTTGAAACACTTCTTCCTTCGGGCATGAAGTGTTCCCTCACACCCTGTGAGTAAGGCTCTGCCTTGGCAGCACTCTGCCTCTTCTCTGGCTTGGATCAGATAAGTCACTGCTCCTGAGCAGATGAAATCCTGTTTTGGTGTCCTCACTCCTGCCCTTCCTGGAGTGCCACGAGGGGTTTAGTGAGGTGACTGAGGTGGTGCAGAGGAGGGCAGTTCTTCCAAAAGCTCTCTCTGGAAGAGAAAATGGGAGTCATAAAGGACTTGTCCCCTTTGGCTGTAGCACAGCACTAGGCTGGTCAGGCTGGAACACCTCAGGGTGGGTAAAACCCATCAGGAAAACTGGAAAATCAGGATACAGAACCTCACACATGCTCTGCAGTGTTTTATTTGGCTTGGTTTGGTATCAAACCAGGACATTTAGTGGCAGTGTTCACACCAAGAATGAATTGCGTGTGTTTCCTTCTCCAGCTGACAGGTCAATGCTTGAGCATATATTGCTCATTTTTAAGGGAAGAGATTGATATGCCTGGAAACAAATTCATTTCTAAGTAGTTGCAAAGCCAGATCAGCTGTGTGTCTCTTCCTGCTGGTCTGAATTATTTGCCTGGAGTGGAGAGAGCTCCTGGACAGGCCTGGATCAGCAAGCTGCTGGAGGAGCAGCAGGGTGGAGGTGCTTTTATAATGGAGCACTGGCCCAAGACTGTGTTCAGTTTCTTTTGGCCCCAAGCTCGCTCTGTGACCTTGGCAGATCCTCCCACCTTGAAAGCAAAACAATTCTGCACAATCCTGGTTGTTTCAGCTGCTGTGTGCTGGGAGTTTCTGCTCTTCCTGAATGGCACCAGAGCGGAAGAGGTTTCTTCCAGCCCCTGCCAGAGCTGCCTAACATCAGCTCCTTGTAAGTGATAGTCTGGAGAAGGTGGTCTGGTGCTTCCACGTAACACGATGTTTGTTGTCATCTCCAACTTCAGGATTTTGCCCTGGATGTCATCAAAAGCACCCACGAACACTGGAAAGCTTTAATAACAAAGAAAACTGACGGAGGGGAGATCAACTGGTAGGTTAATGCTGGTGGGAATGTGCCCCTTCCTCCTCCCTAAACTAAAAACCCTGGAACATCCCTTCCTGAGTGGTGCCATGCTTAGCTGCTGGCTCTCTAATAATATTCATTATTTAATGCTCCTGGGGGGAGGCTGGGCTTGCACCTTCTCACAAGTGCCCAATGTCTTCCAGCACCAACCTGACGGTGTCTGACAGCCCCTTCTGCTGCAGTCAAGACTGTGCAAAAGCTACTGTGGATGCAGTAAGTACCAGTCTGAGTGGCCAAATCCCCGTGTTATTGTGGGGAAAAGGGTGCAGTTTGTGTGGTGTACTGTCCTCTCTGTGTGCGTGGCACATGGCATGCTCAGAGTGCTCTGGGTGGCTGAACACCTGCTTCTGGCTAAACAGGATGGATGTGGAGCAAACCAGACATTCCTCCAGAGACTTCTCCCTGCCCTTAGTCATCCAAGAGATGGAATCCCTAATGGAGTTTGTGTGGAGAAAAGAACTAAACTTCTGAGCTGTAGCTTGGCTGTCAGCTGTTCTTGAGAGGGTTTTCATATTTGGGCTTCCAAGAGCTTCACAGCACAGATCTTCCTCTAAGAAAAGAGAGTCTAATTCCCCAAGGATTTTGCAGCTTCAGAATGAAGAGCTTGACATTCCTGGTCTAGTTTTTCTGTCCAGCCTCTGGAATTAATTGTGTCTCCCTAGATTTGAAGAGTACTGCTGTTGGCAAGCTGAAAGGCTTAGAGGGAGGGGACAGGAAAATCGAAGTGCAAATCTTGCCTCTTTTCCACAACTGGAAACCTGAGTCTGTAGCCTTGGCGAGACCTTTAAAATCATTGTGGTTTTTTTTCTAAAGTGCTGGTATCCCAATTAGGGGGTCTCAGTGAGGTTTCTGAAAGCCCTCATGGAGGATGTGTCACCAGACAGGGATTTTCTCTGTCTCTGGTTGTTGAATACCAGGGAAAGCTCTTCAGATGAGTTCTCTGAGTGCCTCTATTCCCCCATATTTTTTAAACCAATGTTGTAGCTTTATAAAAACCTGCACCTGTGTAGGGTCTGGAGTGGGAGCTGCTGGTGCTGGGAGTCAGATGGCCCTGGAGCTGCCCTTGGAGGGGAGCCCCTCGGGCATCCCCGGAATGGGAGGCTCCAGGAATGCTGCACGTGAGCTCAGTTGTTCCCCCACAGCTGACCAGCTGCTACAGGGGCTCAAATGGTGCTCAGCAAAGCTTGTGCAGCCCTGAATGCTGTGTGGAGAGTGAAGGGCACCTCTGGTCTCTGCTAACACCCTTCTTGTTTCAGGCGCCGCCGTGTAAAGCTGCCAGCCCCATCCCACCCGAAGGTGAGCCTCAAAACCCTCCCTGGCACCCAGCACACACCAGGGGCTTCCTCAGAGGAGCTTCCTTAGGAAAACGAGGGTCTGAATAAACCTGGATGCTGCTGTAGCCAGGGCAAGGCCCAAGGGCAAGCTGAGGGTGGTGTTGGGAGCAGAAAGAGGAGCTGGGCTGACTCTTCCAGTCCCTTCGTGGGAATAAACCTGTGGAGAAATGTGTGTCCCCCATGTGGGCATGGGAGTTGGAGGCTTTGCCTCCCTGAGTCAGCTGCATGGGAGTTGGAGGCTTTGCCTCCCTGAGGCAGAGGGAAGCCTGGCTTGCTGTCCTTGCTGCACCAAGTCATGGATGCTCCTAATGGCAGCCTGAGCAAGGCTGCCTGCTCTGGGAAAACAAACCCACGTAGACAGGGTTGTGCCAGAACCTGTTTGCTGTGCTGAGGAGCTGTTGCCAGGAGCAGAGGAAGCCCCTGAGCTGGAGGTGACACACACACACTGCCACGTAACTCCTTAACAACCGGGTGGCTCGCAGGGGACTAACCCCCTCCTTTTTTCTGCCCCACACAGTTGACAAATGGTTCTACTACCAGAAGAACTAAGTCCTGAGGATGGTGGTGAGACGGCTGTGTCCTTCCCACCAAGGAGCTGCCACACGCAGGACTAGACCAGAAAATAGCTTCAGTGTCAGCAAGGAGACCTTGCTGTAACTTTGCTGATTAGAATTCCATACCTAGCAGTGACGTGTCTGCTGAGGCCTGGCGGAGGCTGGAAGAAATAATTTATAAACTCCCAACAGCCTGCTTGTGCACGGCCATAGGGCGCGCTCTGAGTCGTGACAGCATCACTCACCTGGGACGTGTATGGATGCTAGAAATAAAAAACTACTGAAACCCAGTGCTGTGGGGCTCCCTCTCCTTTCCCTGCCTGGGGCTGAGGGCTCACAAAATCACAGAACCGCTGAGGTCAGACCAGACCTCAGAGGCCATGGAGTCCCGCCTGTGCCTGCTTCCCACAGGCCCGGCCTGTCCTTAAACATCCTCGGGGCTGCCCCCTCAAACTCTGCTCGCCCTTTCCATGCAGAATCCCTGCTCCTGCCCAGCCTGGAGCTCCCGTGCCCCCCGCGCTGTGCTTTGTGCCGGGCTGGCATGATGTTTGTGCCTCGGCGCCGCTCCCGGCGCGGCGCGGGCGGGTCTCGAACCCGCGTCTCTCGGCGGGGCCAGCGCGGCCGGAAGCGGGCGGGGCGCGGGCGGGGGCCAGGCCGCGCCGCCCGCCCTTGAGGCCGGTCCCCCTCAGCCCGCTGGCCCCGCGGCCCCTTCGGCCCCGCTCCCCTTGGCCCCCGAGCCCTCCCGCTCCCCGCGACCGCGGCTCCCCGCGGGCGCCGACGCTTTGTGACCGGGCTTTGGGGTTTGTCCCCGCAGGCATTTCATTTCCAGAGATGTCTTTCATCTTCGAGTGGCTCTACAACGGCTTCAGCAGCGTCCTGCAGTTCCTAGGTAATGCCTGGGCAGCCCCCCCGGCTGGGTTTGGCTCTCCCGCTGGCAGCGCCCCGCAGCAGCGGGGGTGAGGGGTGTGGGGCGGCTCTGGCCCGGGCAGGCTCTGCTCAGGGGGCTCTGTACCAGTGAAGGGGCTTTCAGCCGGGGCAGAGACACTCGGGGAGTGTTTGGAGGCGTTGGGCTCCCACTTAGGGGTTTCTCCTGCCCTCTGGAAGCCTGAGGGCAGCTGGGCTGTCCGGGCAGAGGGAACCCCATCCTCCTCGTGCTCCTTCCAGAGTGCTGGGTTCCCGTGGAGCTCCTTGCTGGAGGGTGGGGTGCCCGTTCTCTTGAAGGGAGGGGAAAAGTCTTTAGGGGCTTTCCTGTGGCAGACACGACAAAAATCGGTTTATGCCAAGGAAACAACGCGCTGTTCCCTGCTTTGTGCTTTTTCCTGGACAACTGACTGCTGTTCTTTTATGAGTGTGTTAAATTTTCACATCTTTTGAGGAGACAGACTGATCCCTCTCTGCTGCACTCTGTCCTCTGCTGCTGGGATGGAGCAGAGGAAAGAGTGGGGTACAACAGGAGCTTAGGCAGTGTCCCTCGCTTGGGAGAAGCCTGTTTGAGCTGTGTGTGCTTCCCCTGCTGCCCGTGGCCGTGCTGGAAGCGTGCACAGGTGGCAGCAGAGCTCTGGGAAGGAAGGAAAGGCCTTCCCCAAAACAAGCAGCGTGGCGCTCCCCGTGAGCCCGCTGGAGTTCTCCTCTTGCTTTGCTCCTTCTCCTCGCAGGTTTGTACAAGAAGTCTGGAAAGCTGGTGTTCCTGGGCTTGGATAATGCAGGGAAAACCACTCTGCTGCACATGCTCAAGGATGACAGGCTGGGCCAGCACGTCCCCACGCTACATCCCAGTGAGTGTCCCTTACTGGGAAAAGCCTCTGGCAGGGAAGGCACCTTGGTGGCAGCTCTGCCTGGGGGTTTGGGGCTCTCAGAACTCCAGCTGAGGCTGCAGCTGCACTGTGGCTCCCCAGGCTGAAGTGGATCTGTGTTTTCCTCTCTAGAAATGCCCAGCAACTGGTGTGGCTCAATTAATAGAACGGGGAGATTTTCCTGATGAAAAACCTAATAAAGGATAATAATTGCAGGTTAAAAAGCTTCAGTGGGAAGCAGGAGAAATTATTTAAATTATTTTCTGCTGCTCATGATTTTGGGAAGCTGCTCCTCAATTCCATAGGAAGTTCAGGGAATTCCTTGTTGGAGGAGCATGTGTGATGCCCAAGAAATTCTGTCTGCCACAACTTCCTTGTTCTCCTGAATCCCACCTGTGTTTTCCATTTCAGCATCAGAGGAGCTGACGATTGCTGGAATGACCTTCACAACTTTTGATCTGGGTGGACATGAACAAGGTAAGGAAAAAATGCCCAAAAATTGATCCTGATGAGTGTCAGCAGTTAGCAGTGCCTAATTATTTTGTTGCCTGGATTTATTTATGGAACAACACGTGGAAGCAACCTCCTGGCTGTAGGTTTGCTTGGAAGGAAGTGCTGCCAGTTCGTGCCCTGCTGCCTGGAGTATTTTTAGCTGTGGAAGACTCAGATATAATTTAGTTTGGGCAGTTGCTGGATTTTTATTTCTGCGCTTTCTAGAAGTTTTAAACACAGGGGTTTTTTCCATTTTGTACACAAAACTATTGGAAGGAAGACACCCTGGCTAAAAAGGCAGCCATGGTTGCTGAGGTTTGGTGGATTGTTCCCTGTGTGGAGATTTCACAGGGCCGTGTTTGTCCCTTGTGTTTTCCAGCTCGCCGGGTCTGGAAAAACTACCTGCCTGCCATCAATGGGATTGTCTTCCTGGTGGACTGTGCAGATCACTCACGGCTTATGGAATCCAAAGTTGAGCTTAATGTAAATACACTTCTCTTCTTTCCCTTCTCCAAAAGCTCTGATCAGCTAAATTATGAATAGCAGCCATCTCTCCCAGAGCTGGAGGAGCCTGGGTGTCCTTGCTCTGGATTGGCCACAGGCACTTGGGTTCAGGGAGGCTCAGCTTGGACAGCAGCAGGAATTTCTGCATGGAAAGGGTGCTCAGGCCTTGGCAGGGGCTGCCCAGGGAGCTTTGCAGTGCCCATCCCTGCAGGTGTGCCAGGAAGGGCTGGAGGTGGCACTCAGTGCTCTGGGCTGGGGACAAGGTGGGCACTGGGCACAGCTGGGACTCCATGGGCTGGCAGGGATTTTCCAGCCTCAGGGACCCTGGGATTCTCCCACAGGAGCATGGAAGCCTCAGAAATGAGCCCTTGTTGGTCACAGAGCTCAAACAAAACCATTTTCTTCAGGCAGTGACTCCTTTTTCCACCTCTCTGCTCAACTCTTGTTGGCTCTTGCACGCAGGCATTGATGACAGATGAGACAATATCCAACGTGCCAATCCTGATCTTGGGGAACAAGATCGACAGACCAGAGGCCATCAGCGAGGAGAAGCTGCGCGAGATCTTCGGCCTCTACGGACAGACCACGGGAAAGGTAGGGAGGCATCCAGACCTTGGGCTGAGAGCTCGCCTGCTGCCTTGCAGGTGGAGCCCTGATGGAGCTGGTGCTGGGGATTTGACCACTAATTGGTCAAGGTGAATCAGGGATGATAGTGGTGGTGTGCCTGGAGGGAGCCTGGGAGAGACAGGCTGTTTGAAAGCCATGGAGTGGTGGGAGGACAAGAGGGAATGGCTTCCCACTGCCAGAGGGCAGGTTCAGATGGGAAACTGGGAAGAGATTCTTCCCTGGCAGGGTGGGCAGGCCCTGGCACAGGGTGCCCAGAGCAGCTGTGGCTGCCCCATCTCTGGAAGTGTTCAAGGCCAGGCTGGATGGGGCTTGGAGCAGCCTGGGACAGTGGGACCAGGCAGTGGGGTGGAATGAGGTGATCTTTAAGGTCCCTGCCAACCCAAACCTCTGGTGCTGCCCTTTTTGAGGAAAGTTCTGAGGCTGCTGGGATTGTCCAAAACGCAGCACACACACACAGGGCCTGCGAGAGGAGCTCCCTGGACGGCTGTGGCTCGCTGGGCGCTTCCCCGAGGGCACCAGGGGTGCAGGTGTGACTCCTGTTTGGATTTCCCCAGGGAAATGTGCCACTGAAGGACCTGAACGCTCGGCCCATGGAGGTGTTCATGTGCAGCGTGCTCAAGAGGCAAGGCTACGGGGAGGGCTTCCGCTGGCTATCGCAGTACATTGACTGACACTGGCACGGACACGAGTTGTACTCCTCTGGACTGATCCTCTTCACTTCAGCTTCCTATGGACTTTTCTATTAGAACGTGGAAGGCTTTCCAAGCGCATCCTGGCGTTGTCCAAGAGACTCCTGGTTTCCAGCTGCCCCTGTGGCACAGTGGTGACAGCCCTCTTTTCCAGGCACCGTTCTTCAGTTGTCCCTGCCCCTTGGGGGCCAGCGGGGCTGCTCCAGCCTGGGAAGGCAAAGCTCTGCACGCTGCAGTGTAACAGCTGAAAAAGAGAGCACGTCTCACCACTGTGCTTAATTGACTTCAAAAACAAACAAACAAAAACAGAAAAGGAAAAAGCAATTATATTTTTTAAAGAAAGTGTTAATGTAAATGGCGTCCCTTCTAACTTTTTAGTTTAACGTTCATCTTGTTTAGTCCAGAGTCTGGTTTAGGGTTTTTTAAAAATCTATTTAACGGTATTTAGATATTTCACAAATTACTGAACCAAGGTATCACGATATTAGAAGTCCTCAATAAACATAGCATTTGGGCTTAACTGAGCTGTAGGGTGGCTGTGCTGTGTCACGCTGACCGACGACGGCGCGGTGCCGTCGGGACTGAGGTGTGCAATCCCAGCTTCTTTAGTTTACAGGGATTTTTTGGTTTTTTCCTACTTGTGGAGGAGCACCTGGTGCAGGTGCTGGGGGTGGTGTGCAGTGGGAAGGGGCTGCCTGGTTCCCCCTCAGGCCAGACCCTCCGTTGAGGCTCCTCTGGCCACGCCATCAGTGTGAACCACGGAGCTGTTTTGGTTGCTGTAGCATGGAAGTGTTTGACATTTGCATATCATGAGGTGATTAATGTAGACTAAACCGGTTTCTTTTATACTCTCAACGGACTTTTTTTTTTTTAAATCTGAAGTTTCATTGCTGTCTGGCACTCATTTTCAGTTCAATAAAGACATGTCTCTCTCCTCCGAAGGGGCAAAGAGCCTCAGTCTGGCTTGGTGTTTGCTGGGCCTCGGGGCCATCAGAACACCAACCACAGAGTTCCGAAGTGTTTGGACAATGCTCTCAGGCACAGGGTGGGATTCCTGGGGCTGTCCTGTGCAGGGCCAGGAGCTGGACTCAATCCTTGTCTCTTCCAAGCAGGATATTCCGTCAATGATTGCATGGTTCTGTGACCTGCACGGTGCAGCCAGAGAGGGAAACTGAGGCAGGACAGAAGAGCCACTTGCCTCTGGGCTGGCAAGCAGGGAGAGCTCATGGCTGGCAGGGGCTTTGCTCTTGGTGTAAGGAGCCCAGACAGCCAGCAAGGGGCTGGGGGAAAACGGGGACTGGGCTTCGGCTCTGACTCCCGGTGTTCGGGGGGATTTTAGCTCTCCCAAAGGGATCCTCCCAGTCCTGGAGCCTCTGTTGGAAATAAAGGCTTGGGGCTCGTTTGTGCTGCGGGAGCGGCTGGAAGCGAGCGTGGCTGTGGGGTGTCGGGGCCGAGGGTCCCGGCTCTCCGAGGGCAGCAGGGCTGGAGGGGCGGCTCCGAGCAGGCATTCCCGGTGCGCGGGAGCCGCTCCGGGCGGGCATTCCCGGTGCGCGGGAGCCGCTCCGGGCGGGCGTTCCCGGTGTGCGGGAGCCGCTCCGGGCGGGCGTTCCCGGTGTGCGGGGCCGCTCCGGGCGGGCGTTCCCGGTGTGCGGGGCCGCTCCGGGCGGGCTGGCGCGGGCCGAGCCGTGGCGCTTCGGAGAGGAGGAGGCGGGCAGCGAGCCGCGGGCGCTGCCCTGGTTCGCCTGGCTGCGGGTGCCCGCGCTGGACGCGCCCGAGGGCGGCTGGGCGTTGCGGGCCAGCGCCGGCTGCCTGCGCAAGGGGCAGGCGCTGCTGGCCTGCGGGTCCCCCTTCGGCGACCTGTGCCCTGAGCTCTTCCTCAACACGCTGAGCCGCGGCGTGGTCAGCAACCTGGCGGGCGAGGAGAACGCCCTGGTGCTCACCGACGCCCGCTGCCTGCCCGGCACCGAGGGCGGCGCCGCCTTCGTGCCCTCGCCCGGCGGGCCGCGCGTGGTGGCCGTGATCGCCGCCTCCTTCTGCTGGAAGGGCGCCGAGTGGGTCGGGCTGACGCTGCTCTGCTCGCTGGCCGCCATCCTGCGCAGCAGCGCCGCCGTCCTGGGCGAAGCCGGGATCGCGGTGCCGCCGGTGCCGGCGTGGGTGGCCGCGGTGCCGGCGAGCAGCGGGCGGGACCCGCTGGGCTGGACGGCGCTGGTGGAGTGCGGGACCACCTGGGGCTCCGGGGTGCTGCTGGCACCGAGGATGCTCCTCACCTGCCGGCACGTCGTGCAGGCCGGAGCCCCGCTCCGTGTGACAGCGGCGGCCGGCCCCGGCCAGTGAGTGCGGCTGTGCCCCCCAGCCTTAACCCCCCGTCCCGACCCTGCGTGTCCCCCGCCGTGACACCTCGCTGTCTGTGTCCTTAGGGATGCCGCCGTGCTCGGCGGACGCGTGGTGTTTGCCACCGAGGAGTCGTCCCCCTTCGACGTGGCCGTGGTGGAGCTGGAGGAGAGCGTGCCAGGCTTTGTCCCGCCGTGCCTGGCCAGCACCTTCCTCCCAGGTGAGCGCCGGGGGGACGCGGGCTGTTGGGCAGGGGCCGCCTCGCCCCCTTGCACCCACCTGCTGCCTCCGCCGTGCCAGGAGAAGAGGTGAGCGTGGTGGGCTTCGGGGCGCTGGGGCCGGCGTGCGGCCCCTCGGTGACAGCGGGCATCCTCTCGGCCGTGGTGGCGGTGGCCGGGCGCCCCGTCATGCTGCAGACCACCTGCGCCGTGCACGGCGGCTCCAGCGGCGGGCCCCTCGTCTCCTCCCGCAGTGGCTCCCTCATGGGTAAGCCTGGGGTGTCCCATAGGTAGGTGTGGGGGTCCCATGGGTAAGCCAGGGGTGTCCCCGCGGGCAGGGGTAGGGGTCCCATGGGTGTCCCCCGGCCGGACCCCGTGACGTGGGCCCCTCTCCCTCCCTCCCCGCCAGGCATCGTGGCCAGCAACACGCGGGACACCACTGCGGGGGCCACCTACCCCCACCTCAACTTCTGCATCCCCATCACCGTCCTGCAGCCCCTCGTGGCGCGCTACCGCCGCACCGGCGACCCCGCTGCCTTCGCCGGGCTCAACCGGGAGGGTGAGGGGGTGAGGGCGACTTGGCAGCTGCACCAGCGGCCAGGACCCCCCAGCAAGCTCTGAGCCCCTCGCGGGGTGTCCTGTGCAGGGACCGAGGTGCCAGGGACCGAGGTGCCAGGGGTGGGGCTGCCCCCTCCCCTCTTTGGCTCAGGGGTTCAGGGCCCAAGTGCCTGCAGTCCACAGGGCACCCTGGGGCAGGGGATATGGCACGGTGCCTTTGACAGCTGCTGACAACCCCAAAATGGGGAGGTTTGGGGTCTGTATTACTGTTGTATTTTCTCCCTGGGGCCATAAATGCTGTGAGTTGAGGCCCTGGTGTCCCGTGTGCTGAGTGGCTGCAGGGAGGGGAGGGGTGGAGGCTCTCACTGGGGTGTGGGTTGGGTTCTGGGGGGCAGGTTGGTCCTGTGAGGGATATTCTGGGTCAGGGATAGGATTGGGTTGGGTCTTGTTTGGGGTTGGGGTAAAGCATGGGGAGGGAGGGCACTTCCGAGTCCTTCCATGGCTTCTGCCCCTGTGAAAAGGGAAGCTTTGGGGTCATGGGGAGGGTCAGGAGCTGGGGAGGGGACGCGTCCCTGGGGAGGGAGGCAGTTCCAGCTTCATGGCAGCAGAGTGCAGGAACCAAACCCAGGGCACTGACAGTGGGGCACTCGTACCCCAAGCTGCTCCCCAGCCCTGCTGCCTGCAGGGCACAGCACCACAGCACCCCTGCCCAGGACAGCCCTGCGGGGCCGGGGGAGGAACGGGCGGGCGAGTGTTTGACACAGCACGGGGTATTTATTTCACAGCCGCTACACAACGCCGGGGCCGGGGCAGCCACGCAAGCACAACATGAGGGGGGATGCGGGGAGGACAGGGGGCAGCTTATCTATACGAGGGTTTCTTGGTTTTTTTTTTTGTTTGTTTTTTCCTTTTTTTTTTTTTCCCACTTTTATTAGCGCCATTTGCCCGGTTGAAGACCACGCAGCAGCACACTAGGCCTACAAGGCTCTACCCAAAAGAAAAAAAAAAAAAAAAAAGCTCAAATTCGCATGAGAGCGGCCCCCCCGCCCCGCTCGCCCCCTCCCCGGGCGAGCGCCCCGTTGCCCCGTCCCACACGGGACCGGAGGGGGGAGCACCCACCCCATGGCACACCGGCAGCGGGGGGCTCACGGGGACCCCCGGCTGGGGGGCTGCCTCCCGGCCGTGCCGCCCACCGGGCTCTCCTGCTCCTCTACCAGATGTAGCCGCCGTCGTCGCCCTCGCCCGCTTCGCCCTCCTCTTCCTCGCCTTCCTCGCCCGCCTCCTCCGGCTCCTTCTCCTCCTCGTCCTCCCAGCCCACGCTGCTGCCGAAGTCTCCCGAAAACCCCGTTGCTTCGTCTGGAGGGGCGAGCAGCAGAGGTTGGGGGCGGCCCCGGGCTGCGGCCCCGTGCCCAGGCGGGCAATGCCCGCTGCTCTCACCGCAGTCGGGGCTGCCGTGCCCGCGGGTGCCCGTCAGCTCGGCCCCGTGCTGGTCCACGCACCAGCACTCGCCGCCGCCCGGCTCGCACTGCGCCCGCCGGTAGTAGCCATCCTCATCGCAGCTGGGGATGAAGGTGCCTGCAGGGAAGCCATGGCCCCCCACCCCCCCAAAGACGTGCAGTGCCAGAGCCCCCCGGGGAGATCCCCGTCCTCATCCCAGCGCGGGGCACTGCCGGGGGGAAGGGCCCTGGGGTGCCCCACTCACCCAGCTTTTTTTTGGTTGCTTCTTGGATCTGGATCTTCTCCAGCTCCCTGAGACAGGGCGGCTCTGCAGCAACACCACATGTTGCTCTTAGGGTGGGCACGAGGGACCCCTCATCCCACACAGCGTGTGCCCCCAAACCCACAGCATTCATCGCTGTGGTGTGCATCCCCCAGAACTCCACGTCTCCCCATGGAGTGCATCCCCCAGACCACACAGCGTGCATTGCCCATGGGGTGCATCCCCATCATGTGCACCCACCCTGGCCCATGGAGTACATCCCCAGCTCCACAGTGTGTATCCCTCTGGCCCATGGAATCCCTCAGGATGCACATCCCCCTTAACACAAGACGTGCTTCCCCATGCCCCACAGCATGCATCCTCACCATGGTTTCCAGCCCCCCAAACCCTGTGGTGCACCTCTCCCCCTAAGGCAAACATCCCACAGCCACCCCAAACCCACAGCAAGGGTGCCCATTACCCCATGACATACATCCCCCCATGGTGTACATCCCCCAGTCCCGCAGCATGGGATGGATCCCCCCAACCTCACGAGGTACAACCCCGATCCCACAGCATGGATTCCCCAATGCGTGGCACGCATCCCACAGGACACAGATCCCCCAGCCCCAGGGGGTGCCTCCTCCTGGCCCCGTGCTGTCCATCCCCGGCCCCTCAGCGCCATGTCCCCCTGTCCTGACGCACTTTCCCTCCAGAAGCAGAAGCACCACTCGGGGGCGGAGACGCGGCCGTCCTTGGAGGTGTCGCAGGAGTTGAAGAAGGCGCGGATGCACACCTCGTACTTGTCCAGGTTGATGGCGGCCAGCTCGGCCGCCTCCAGGAAGAGGTCCCCGCTGGTGTCCAGCCGGGCGAACATCCACCCCACCGCCTCCTTGCAGGTGGCCGCCACGCTCCTCTCCAGCGCTGCAGGGCAGGACGAAGCCCGTGGCTGCCCGGCCCCCCCGGGGACAGCAGCCCACGTCCCCTCCCCGTGTGGCAGGGACAGGTACCGGAGGTGGGGCTGGCGGGCAGCCCCCCGGAGCCGTTCTGCTTGGCGTTCTCCCGCAGGAGCTGGAACCAGTCGCGCAGACGGTCACCCAGGTCGGCCAGGTCCTGCCCGGTGCACAGTTCTGGGGGTGCAGCGGGGCAGCGTCAGGCCGGGCAGCGCTCGGGGACCGTCCCCCGGAGCGCCGCACCCCGCTCACCTTGCTTGCTGTCGCCGGCAGGGCTGTGCGGGGTCGGGCAGGGGCACTGCCCCTCGCACCGCACCGTCAGCTGCTTGCTGGCCAGGCACGCCTGCTGCTCCAGCTTGCACTGCGGGGCGGCAGCGGGGCGTCGGCGGGGGGACACGGCGGGGACACGGGGCCCCGTCCCCGCGGCGGTGCCGCCGTCCTTACCGCCGAGCTGTAGGTGTGGCCGTCGGAGCCGCAGACGGCGGCCACCGGGGCGGCGTGGCAGGGCTTGCAGCCGCCGTGCGCCTTGGGGCCCAGCGGCTTGATCCTGCGGGGCGAGAGGGTGCTGAGCCCCGCCCGGGCCGCTCCCCGCCCCGCCCGGGCCCGCCCCTACCTGTGCTCCAGCTTCTTGCGGCTGATGCACATGGCGCGCTGGTAGCCCTGCGCCACGCACACCTTGTGCCGGCTGCACTTCACCTTCTGGCACGGGTCCTTGGTGGTGTCCAGGGCTGCGGGGGGACAGGCGCTGGGGCAGGCGGGGAGCCCCGGGGGAGCCCCGGCCAGCAGCCGGCCCGGCACCGGCTGCTGCTGCCCGGCTCCACCCCCCCAGCACCGCTCCGGAAGGGAAAAGGCCGGGGGTGCAAGCGACCCGCCCCGACCCCCCATAGTGGCTGGCACCGAGCCCACTGAGCTCCATCCCAAACCCATCCCAGCGGTACCTTCATCCCCGGGCTGGTTGTCCTCCCAGCTCTTGATGTAGTCATCCTGCGAATTGGGGAGAGCCTGCATGAGTGCAGGGGGCGGGAAAGGTGACACCGGGCCAGGCGTGCCATCAGCCGGCTCGGGGCCAGGGGTGCACACAGCCCCTGGGCACCCCCACAGCGGCAGGGACGGGAGCAGCTCCCCCCACAAGCGGGGTGTCACCCCCTCGGCAGCCCCTCCAGGCTCACCTCCACCTCCTGGCGGCACGGCAGCGAGACGGCCCAGCCGGCACCGACAGAAGAAAAACAGAGAGAGAGAGTGCCCACCGTCAGCCCCGGGACAGCCGAAGCCCCCGGCCCCAGCCCACAGTGACAGCGGGGCACCCCGACATTCCGGTGCCCAGAGCTCTGCCCTGCATATCACTGGCACCGACCATCAACGTGCTCCCCCACATCTGGTTCCAGACCTGTAATCCTGGAGGAATTACACAGGACAAAGCCTTCCCCCATGAGCCAGCTGGGAAAGCCAGGGAATACGCATGGAAATGGCATTGGGTGGAGGAAGCCCTCGGGAGCCCAGTGAGCACCTCAGGGGATCCCCATGGTGCTGCCACCCCGGTTCTTCAGCCGTGGGCCAAGATGGATGTGGCTGCCAGGGGAGGCAGGACTGCTCCCGCAGGACCCCGAAAGCATCCCGGGGGTGTGGGGGAGTAGCAGGGACTCAAACCCGCCCACCCCACGGGACACTCCGGGGTGAGCTTTGCCACAAGGCAGGAGCATGCCTGCCGCCCTGGGGAGGCTGGGCAGGGTTTGGGATGGCAGCAGGAAGCGGCGGCACGGGAGGCAGCTCCGGAGGGGATGTCTCGCTCCGGCACCGCAATCGATAGCCGCGCTCCCGTGCCGTGATTGGTAACACTGCGGCGCCCGGCAGCTCCCTGCGGCGCGGGTCCCGCCCGTGCATCCCCCTCCGGAGCTGCTCGGTCAAAAACCCCACAAATCCATGGATTTGCTTATTAATCCAAGCTAACCGCCAGCAGGGCTGCAGCCCCCCCAGCGCGGCAGCCGTGCCACGGCAGGGTGGGCCCGACGTGTGCTGCCTGCGCCCGGGGATGGGCATCCCTGCATCCCTCCTCCGCTCTGAACCCCCCGAGGATGGGCATCCCTGCATCCCTCCTCGGCCCTGAACTCCGGGGATGGGCATCCCTGCATCCCTCCCCGGCCCTGAACCCCCCGAGGATGGGCATCCCTGCATCCCTCCTCGGCCCCGAACCCCAGGGATGGGCATCCCTGCATCCCTCCTCGGCCCTGAACCCTGGGGATGCTCAGTGCCATGGGGGCACATCCACAAGTGCTCCCCTCGAGCACCCACAGCCATCCAGGTCCCAGGTGCCCAGTGTCAGCATTGGCCAGCGGGGGTGTTGGGGGCAGGGGTCTCCAGGGGAGGAATTTACACCTTTGCACCCTCGTCCTTGCTCTGTCCCCCAGCTGGTTTATTTCGGGGGTGGTGCCCCCTGCCCTGCGGTGGGCACACCTTGCTTGCCATCATCCATCCATCCATCCATCCATCCATCCATCCATCCATCCATCCATCCATCCATCCCCTCCTCGCTGCCAAGGTGAACCCGAGTGTGCATCTGAACAAAGACCACAGGGGCTGGCTCGGGGTGTGCCCCCTCCCTGCCCGGCTGCTGCAGGTGTCCTGGGTCTCCCCAGGATGGGGCTGCAGCACCGCGTCCCCCACCCTGCAGGACATGAGCAGGAGATGTAAAACGAGCTCAGGAAAAACCCTGACTGCCCCATCATTTTAAGGGCTGCAGCTAAATGCCATCGAGGCTGTAACAGCGAGGGGTGACAGGATCCCGAGCCCGGCGTGCCAGGTGTGCCAGCGCTCCTCCAGCAGTGCCTGCATCCTCATCCTCCCTGCCTCGCGTCCCCCACATCCCCAGGGGCACCACCCGGCCCCGGCTGCGGCACCGCGCGGGGCTCCGGAGACACCCGCGGGGCTCGGGGAGCGGGGTCCGGGGGATGCTCGTGCCCTGGCACGGGCTGGGCTGCCACCGAGGCTTTCGGGCCACGGCGCAGCCCCCGCAAGGGGCGGGCGGGCCCTGCCTGCACCCCCGTGCGGGGCACGGGGAGAGGGCGCAGAGGACAGCACCCCCGGTCACCGGAGAGAGTCGCTTTGGCACCAAGCCCTGGCCATGGAGGCATCGGCGTAAGCCACGCAGCTTTGGCGTCGGGCAGGGAGGCGGCGGCGCTGCCGGAGCCGGTGAGCATCCCCCGGGTACCGGGGCCGCGGAGCATCCCCCGGTACCGGGGCCGGCAGCCGCCCACGGCCGCGGCGGGATGCGGGCACCGCCGAGCATCCCCGGGCGCCCGCGGCGGGGGGGGCGGGAGCGCGGGGAGCGCGGGGAGGGGGCTCCCGGTGCCCGGCAGCGCGTCCCGCGCCCCCCGCCCCGCTGCCGGCGCGGACTCACGTCTCGGAAGCGGTTCCAGTGCTTGATCCTGCCGCCGTACTGGGAGATGGACGAGAGCCACTGCTCGTCCTCCATGAAATTGCCGGGGCTCTCCCCCGCCGCGGCGGGCCCGCTCGGCACGGCTCGGCACGGCCGCAGCACCGGCCCCCTTCTGGCCCCACCCTGCACCCTCGTCCTTGGCCTGTCCCCGGCCCGCGCCCCTCATCGTGCGCCCCGCATCTCCTGCCACACCCCCGACCTGAAGTTCTCGTCCTGCTCTCCTGGTCCCTACCGCGTCCCCATCCTCCATCCCCGACACACCCCCTTCCCGCATCCTCTATCTTGCATTCCTGGTCCTTATCTGGTCTCATTCCACATCCCCCACCCAGCATCCCCTGCCTCGCCCCTGTGCTGCACCCCTCATTCATGGTCGGTACCGAGTCCCCATCCTGCATCCCCCATCCCCCATCCCCATCACATCTCCATTCTGCATCCTTGGCTCCATCCCACATCCAATGTCCTGCAGCCCTTGGTCCCTGCCAGGTCCCCATCTCACATCCCCCATGCTGCATTCCCTGTCACATCCCCATCCAGCACCAGTCCTGCCACATCCCTCATTCTTATCCATCATGCATCCCCCATTCCTTCCACACCCCCATCCTGCATCCCCAGTCCCTACTGCTCCCCTACCCCACAGCTCCTCATCCCTGCCATCTCCCAGCCTCCAACCCCTCTCCCTGTGATGCCCACACTGTGGTGCCCATTCCTTGGCCATCCCAGCACAGCATTTTAAGGGCTCCAGGGAAGACTCCCCACTATCCCAAGGTTTTTGCTTTTGGATTTTCCCCTCTTCTCAGCGGGGGGAAATCAGGGTAGGCAACAAGTGACAACTCACCCCAGCTGCAGCTCCTTCACAGCCTCAGCTGGGGATGCCACAGCGCACATCCAGCTTCTCTTCTCCCTGCCAGGATGCTCGGGATGGGAAGGATAACTGCCAGCAAGCCCCAGTGATGTCAGGCAAAAGATCAGAATCCTTAATTCTGCCTGGGGAAGGAGGTGTGAAATGAATTTTGCTGTGCCAGGCTAGAGCAGCGGGATAAGCTGCTTACCAGCGAAATTCAACCAACTTCCCAAAGAATTGTCACTAAAACATGTTTACACAAGTGGGAAGAGGAGGAGTATGCTCCAGTTGTCAAAAACCCGTGTTTGCCTCAACTTCTGGGTGAGAGTCGTTAAGAACTCATCAGGCAGAAGCTTCCCAAGGTGCATCTCCCCTTTCCTGGTGGCTGCGTGAGCAGCTCCCGGGTCTGTTCCAAAGAGATTTGCCAAGTACCTCTTCAGGCTGGCGGAAAGATGACAGCAACTGGTGTTAAGTGCTCTCAGCACCTCCCTGTGAGTGCGTGCTGTGCTCTGCTCCCCGAGGGAACCGTTTGGAAGGCGGCTTCTGGAGAGCACAGAGGCGTTCTGACGCCAAGGAAAAGGACACAAACAGCGCGATGGCTGTAGCTGGGTACAAGCAAGGGCACCCAGCAAAAGCACAGATGATTTGATTGCCTGACAGGCTGGCTTGAAAGCAGACAGGCAATTTGGTCAGGGAAACATAAACAGCAACACATCTGGGGGGGAAAAGAATAGCAATCCCAATTCCCGAATGACTCCCGCTGCTGTTTGTGCATGGCCAAACAGCCAGCTCACTCTGGAGGGAGGAAATGGGGCGAAGACCTCTTAGAAATGATCACTACGACATGTGGAGCACCCCTATCCCTGGCTGAGACACTCTCCACCTCTACCACAGCATGATTCCATATCCACAGAAGCAACCAGGAATGGGCAGCAGCACCTGTTCAGTTACAAAACACCCAAGCACCAGCACCTTCCATTTTCCAAAGCGTTCATCCTAGGGCAAGCTGAAATCCTGTGTCGCTATTTTTACCAAACGTGGAGATTTACAGGAAAAAAACAACGTTGTCTTGAGATCTCTGAAGGATTCACAATGGAATCAAAGAGCTTGGTGCTGCTTTTAATGGAGAAACCACCTACAAGGCATATGTTTTTTGCCACGCTCTGAAACGGTCACTGGAAAGAGCTCTAAGCGTCAGTGCTTTCTTATTATCATAGTTATGTGCTGTGCTGGAAGTTTAATTACAGGAACTATCAATGCAACAGGAGATAAACACTTTGCTTTTGAAGGGAATTAATTTATTTGGAGATCTACATCACACAGGCACGCTGCTGGAGATCCAAGCAATGCCTGACCTCAATATCGTTAAATCGTGCTCCGGCGAAGCTCTCCTGGATTTTAAATACTTATTTTAAGAACAAACTTCCTTCTTCTTAAAAAAAGCCACATTTCAACACCAGCAATGCCCCAAAAGCCCCAGTTCTATTGTTTTCTTGGAAAACCAGCAATCCACAGACATCAAAGAGGCAACTTTGTGACGTTTTGGGGAAAGGAGGAGGAAGGCAACCCCAAAGAAGAGGGCAGTGGGAAAAGCTGCAGGGAAACGCCACGGTTCCCATGCCTTGGAGGAGTCATGAGGCATCCCAGCTTGGAGTCCTCAGGTTCCCATTGAAGATTCATATCCTGTAAAACCTTTCACTGAGGGATCATGCACAGAGCAGACCCCCTACAGCTGCCTCAAGAGAAGCACAGCTGCCCAGATGTGGCGTAGTAGCCAGAGGCGTCCGAGGAGAACCTCTGGGAGAGACGCACCGAGTCCAGCTGCACCTCCCCGAAGTGGAAGTTCTCAAAGAGCTGAAAGGAAGAAGAAAAAAACACACTTGAAGGGCAGCAGAGAAAGGGAGCCAGCAGCTGGCCCAAGGCTCTCTCGCAGGAGCTGGCCCTGTCAAAAGCCTCTCCTCACAGACTGGTTTTGCCTTTAAATCAAAGTGTTCTTTAGGTTATTTTTCCCACTAAAGACTGTGAACTCTTTATCTACAGCAGCAGCTGCTCAAACCTGCCCTGCTTTGCTGCCTGTGTCACTGAGGGAGTGTGGGGAGGCACCACTGCTCTGGAGGCACCACCCCCGGGTGGCTCTGCAGGGGTAAGGTTTGAGGCCAGGAGGTTTGCACCAATCCAAGCCACAGGATGCAGGACTCAGCTACAGCTCAGTCCTAATTCAAAGTAGCAGGCTGGAGGCACAAGGCTCCTCATCCCAGCACTGACCCCGCTTTGTTCAACAAATCCGTCTTTGTTCGGCGAAGACTTGAGTGCAAAGGAAGGAAAGCAAGCCAGCTCCGGAGCCCGGGGGGTGTGTCCCTGCCCATTAATCCAACCCACGAAGCAGACCAAAAAAAAATGACATCAGAATTTCTTACAAGAAGTTATTGCTGGAAAAGCCTGGCATCCAAGCGCAAAGTGCTCCTCCCGTTCCATTAAGCAGCAGGAAATTGCTCTACCTGGGAACATCAGCCGTGCCTCAGGAAAAGCTCCTCGGTGGAGATGCTAATTTGGAAGCTCTGTTTAACCCGAGAGCTGTGAGGCACTGAGAACCTGAGCAGTGACTTCTCCCCACCTTGGAGATTTCCAAAATGTCCATTCCATCTGTCTCCTATTCAATTTTCTATCTGTCTCTGCAGGCGTGGGCTTGAGGCAGTCCCACAGCCCTTCCTGCCCTTTACAGAAGGCAAGAAGGAAAGCCAACACATTAATCCTCCTGGAGCCAATGGTGCATCAATTCCTCCATAGAGGGACTGACTGAAATCCCAAATAACTACTTAGCATCTGAAAGGCTGCACTTCACCTCCTCCAAAGAGGCATTTGGCTCTGCCTGGCACTGATTTGGGCACAACTGCTCTTTTGTTGTTTGTCCCAAGAGTATTCTATACCCTTTTTTCCAGAGGAGACCAGCTAGTTTTCTCTCAGGACAATTCCTGGCTTTGCTGTCACCCTGCAAAGGAGAAGAGCCATAGGGAAAGTGACTCCCTGCCCATTTTGGGGCAGAGCAAGAGACCCCAGGGCAGCAGCGTGGCCTCAACGGACACTGTGAGTGGTGGCTCCACGGGGTCACTGCCCTAAAGAAGAGCAGCCTGCAGAAAAGAAGCTGTGCTTTTCCTCTCAAACCGGGAGAGGAGGGAAAAGAGAGGAAGAGAAATGACGACAGCCACACAAACTTCATTTCATACAATTAAAGATTTATACAAGAAAGATTAATTATGTTCCCAAAAGCCTGTGTCTTTCATGTTGGAGGACTTAGGATAAAATGTCTCATTAATAAGAGATGGCAGTAAAAAGGGGTTGGTCACCTTTCTCTTTGTTTTGGCTGACCTCAGAAGGAAGGATGGTTTCCTGCTCCTCGGGGCTCCCTGCAATGCTCTGCCACTCACCCCAAAGCTTCACACCTGTCCCTGTCACAGTGGCTGCTCACACTGTCACTCTTTCCCATCACAGAGCACTCCCCACCCAGGAAAAACAGAAATAACCTCTCTCTGGATTCCTAACAGAGTGGCAGGTGTGCTGGGAAGCAAGGAGTACTCGGGTTTGAAGAGGGCTCCCTCCAGTGCCTAAAGGGGCTCCAAGGGAGCTGGACAGGGACTTTGGATGATGGAGTCATGGGACAAAGAGGAATGGCTTCCCACTGAGCATGATTCAGATACCGGGAAGAAATTCCTCCCTGTGACGTGGGGAGACCCTGGCACAGGGTGCCCAGAGAAGCTGTGGCTGCCCCGGGATCCCTGGAAGTGCCCAAGAGGAGGCTGGATGGGATTGGAACACTCTGATCTAAGGTGTCCCTGCCCATGGCAAGAGGGATGGAATGGACTTCAAGGTGGACTTTAAGGTTCCTTCCAACACAAACCATTCCAGGATTCCATGAACAAAACAAATTAAATTGTGGGATGTGCCAGACCCATCAGCAGCGCCAGAAGTGAAACCTTTCCACAAAATAACCAAAGGAAGAGTTTTGTTTATGCTATTGCTGCACACCACAACCCGTTTTTCTTACTAAACACATGTACTTCAAAGCAAAAATTAGTTAATGAGACAAACCTTCCCCGAGCCCCTCTTCCCTCACACAGCCCCAGGCATGTCACAGCAGAAGGATGACTGGGAAGTCCCAGAAGACACTGCCCAGGTCAAGGGCCCTCCATTTGTACACTGCTAGAAGTGCAGCAAAGCCATTGTACCAAAGCACTTTGTATTCCCTTGGCTTTTTTAAGATTCACCACCTCCCGTGTGTTCGAGCAGCTGTGTGTTTCCCAGGGAGGAACGCTGCTAGAACTATTGATTTTTGGTAATGTGGCTGTACTTTCTGAGAGTAAACATGCTACAAGATTTAGAGGACAACCACAGACACTTTTTTCTGCTCTTGTTTCAGGCCGGCTTCTCACCGATGCTCCTGTGCTCCCTGAGGCTTCCCATGACAGAAGCCACCGGACTCCAGACACAGAGATCACTGCACATCTGAGACCTGCCTCAGGCAGTTGGAGAGAGGCCCCTCAAACATCATCCTCAGCACCTCTGAAACACCAGGAATCCTCCAAGACCTCTGGAACACCAGGAAGTGGCTTCCCATCATGAAAGCATCCTGAGCTCGGGTCCCTGGAGACTCAGAAGAGATTGCAGAGAGCCAAGCCTCTGCTTTTGACTTTCACTTCTATTTATCTTGAGGAGAAGCCAAGCAGAGCCAAGAAAGATATTTATAACTCCCCCCTCTCCCCAGCCACCACGGAAACGCTCTGGTTTCGGAGGAGCCCTGGAGCACAGCTGATGAAATGCCTCCTGGGAAAGCATCTTAGCATTTTTTATTCTGCACCAAGGAAGGAGGTACCTGGAGATCGCTGCCCTTCAGAAGCAACCGCTGATAACCCCAAGACTGGCTGACTCCTATTCCTTCCCTATGGCTGCCAAGGGCCCACCTTTCCCTTGAGAGGCTGCAGGGAACACGAGGAGATGTGGATCAGGAGCAGCCAGGAGGGAGGCAGGGGAGGAGAAAGGCAATCGCCCGCAGAGCCGTGTCATTTGATTGGAGTGGGACGCAAGGCTCAGCAAAAGCACAGTAATTCTATAAATCCAAACATGCCAAGGGATTTATGTCCTCGATGCC